TTAGCTTTGGAGCATCATATGTGTATATGTGAACATACACATATGTGAACATCGTATATACATTATATGTGAACATCACACTTGTGTCATCATATATGGATGAAAAAGCCTGTCAGTATAGAACCTGCGTCCTTTATCAGCGTGCTACAATGCGAATGGAGGTTCCAAATAATTCTGAATAGTGCTTGGGTTGGGCATAAGTTGAGCATTTAAGTATTTCTGTCACATGAAACAAACTTCTCATTTCAAACACTCAAGCACTGTGAAATATTACAACTGTGAAGAACACTCAGCCTTCGTAAATATAGGAAAAGTAATTGGGGAAAACTGGCGACGGCTGTGCAATGAATATCCCTTACAAGATCAGAGCAACTATTGTCTATACCGCTCGAAGCTGGGCTGAATGGCTGCTGTGACCTTTTGCATATCCTATGATCTCAGTAGCTGACGGTTTGGGCCAATTTTCTGGCTTTAACACGCGGGGTCCCCCTGCTGTTTTTAATCGTCTGGCTCTCGTTGGATGCTCATTCCTGCTGTCTCCGCCGCCACCAATCGCCAACCAACTCTCCGAGAGCGTGAATATGTTAGCACTGCGTGAACACTACATGTGCGCGAAACGCTGAAAAACGCCTGCGCGTGAGTTTCCCACGAATTACGTTGACCAGCAGGCGACGCACCGCCAAGCCCCAACACGACACCATTGCCGGCAGCCAACGCGGCCCCGGGGTCACTGCTCCGCCTCCCTCGGCCCCAGTCCGGTCAATGGGCGGAGCGAGGGGGCGGGGGACTCCCTGAGGGCAGCGCCGGCTGGGGGCACGGCTACTTTCGCCGCCGCCGCGCCGGCCGGCCGGCTCGACCGCGTGTGCAGGCTAGTTTGGTGCCTGTGCGCCGGTATGATGGACGCGTTCCTCCGCACCTGGCCGTTCGGGTAAGCCGGTCCTCCGGGCCCAGTCGACAGACCAGCAGGGGTGAGACGGACTCGCCAGGGAGGCCCCGACCTCCGTCTGCTTGCCTCGCCGAGGGCTACCTGTGACTATGTGACTATGGGAGGCGTGTCTGTCGTGCACCTGAGTTTGAGTGTTGAGACGTATCGGCGGGAAGGCTGTGTTACATGCTGAAGACTGATAGCCTCGGCGACAGGGTTCCTATAGACGTGAGTCTGTGGTCTGGCTGCTGCTTCAGGACCAAAGCTTATTATTCTGGCAAAGTAGAGGTCGCCTACACGCAATTTTGAATAACTGAAATGCACTTGCCTCATCCGAATTCATGAGCGTTCCATGCCTTCGCAAGTCGGCAGATCTGAAGTTATTCAAATAATGTAAAATAAAAAAACTGCAAGATGGCGGGTGCTCGGCTACGGTGTCGACAGACAGCACGTTCCATCTGAAGCAAGTGGTGCACGAACAAGTCTTTTCCCCTTTAAGCCAGCGCTCAAACTGCCCCCACGATGTAAAATCTGTAAAGCGAATCTCAGTCATTGAGCTGTTATTGGCCCCAACCCGATATATAAAGAACAAAGTGTGACAAAAAGTCTCTATCCGGTCAAACAAAAGCCCAATGCGCAGTGTGCGATGGCCTCAAAGGAGACGGATTCAGCAGGTCTTTGACGTTTCACGATTGAATTAATTGCACATTTTGCATGTTGTATATTGCCTTTACATAAGGCGTTGGCCGTCCCAATCAGGCTGCATCAGCAACTAGGAGATTGATGCAATTGGACGGTAGTTATCGCCTCGTCGTAAAAGCCTAAAGATCCGGCTGCAGTGCGAAGCACGGTCACACCAATCGCGGTTGTGAATGCGAAGCACAGGAATGGCGTGAAGTTGACTTGCCCACACTTAATATCATTCGCATGTTGTTTGCTATTTTTGCAGTCTCCCGCTGAAATTTGCGACAGAAGAACAATGGCGTTTGAATTAAGCAGCAGACAACTGGCCACTTTGTCTAATGAGTGACGGCGGTGCCTTCAGGTTTTCGCTCAGGAAGCCTTTACTGCTCAGCATTAATGTCCAGCGAGATTTGTCAACCGCTATTCACTGTTTGCAAATACGTTTTTGCAGCCTTTAAATCCCCCGCGGGAAATGTGTCCGGCACATTGTTGAATTGTTCCTGACGTTTGTGCGGTTCGTAAATGTCTTCTCCCCGTAAGCCTACTGCATGGGATACGAAACATCGCCACCTGTCGCCCCTCTCTGGGAGAGGCCATAAAGTCTCGAGACCGGGTGGCTTTCCGGGAAGTGGTTAGCGCCACACAAACACCAGTTAAGATGGAAGTCCTGTGTTCCTTTTCGCTGCTTGGCCGGAGCGTCTCATGTCTTCTGTTACCCTCTTGTACTCCCGTATCTTTTATCTAATCTGTTTCTGATCTGGGAGAAGTTTCTCGTATGCTCTGCAGGTCTCATGGCCTTCCTCCCTCTCTCTCTCTCTCTCTCTCTCTCTCTCTCTCTCTCTCTCTCTCTCTCTCTCTCTCTCTCTCTCTCTCTCTCTCTCTCTCTCTCTCTCTCTCTCTCTCTCTCTCTCTCTCTCTCCTACATCTGACTCTACATCTTCTATGTTTTTTTGTTGTGGTCATGGCCACTTGGTATATTCCTCACTGTCTCTAAAAGATATGTCCGACTGCCGTTCCGCTCCACTCGCGTGATTCTGCGTAACGATGGTGACAACGTCCAAGCCTGCTCCGCCCGCACCGCGCCACCGAGTGTCTCCTTTCGCGCGCTGTCTCCGCGGTCCGTTGCGCCCCGCTACCGGCGTCTCCACTTCTCCACCGTCACGCCCTGACGCGGTCTGCGCGTAACACGACCCGTCACGGGACCGTCACGATGTCCTCCGACCCCCGCCCGTGGGCCGGGGGTCGCGTCGGGCTCCGTCGCCCGCGCGCAGGCGCAGGCAGATTACGTTACTCACCGTCCGCGCTCGGAGCTGGGACGCGTCGATCGCCGGCCATTTTGCCGAGACCTAAGCACGGCTCGCCTTTGTAGTGCGCCGCATTGCTCAACGAGGCGTTTTCGGCGCACTGAACTCGCCGCTGGCGCGCGTGCTGGTCATTCTGCGTGAGGGATTAGCGAGCGCGCCTAACGCGGCCGGCGATTTCAGGCAACGGGTTGTTCCTGCAGCAGCGCGCGTGAGGGCGTCGGACGATACGAACACGCGGGCTGGACTCCACTGCAGATCCCATCAGCCGCCGCGGCCGAAGCGACCCGCGCTGACCGTTTCGCCACCGCGGAGTCGGAGTCGTGTGCCGCCTGCACCGCATGGAGACTGATAACGAATGGATTCCAGGTGTCATGTCGACGGTCGTCACGCTGGCGAGATTACCGCTGCCTCCGTCATTTTTGTCGTCCGCGCGAGATTAGTCCGACACTCCCTGCAGTTGGCTCGGTGCGTGGCCAAATTTGGGCGGCCGGCGATGGTGGTGACCACACGGTGTGCTCTCGGCACTAACGAGACGTTTGGTCGCGCAGTGGATGTCGCGCTCGGTGGCTGTGTGCGCCGGCGCAGGTGCAGCGACAGGCGCCGCTGGGGGTTCATTTGTCCGGTTCATCGGGTCATTTTGCCCTCTGCGGATGGCGAAGATCTCGTGTCCACCGCACAATGCACATTGTCACTGTCATTGCGGATGGCAGATAAGGCTCGGTTGCTTTTTGTCCGCCGAAAAATTAGTGTAGAGACATTTCTGTCCGGCGATAAGGATCACGGTGCGGTGGAATCGCGGCATCGAGCTTCTTTCGGATCGCGTCGTCTTGGGCCGTTTGATAAATAGACCTCCCCACACCCTTCCCAAGACGTCCGCCCCGATAGAGGCTTAGATTTCCAGCGGTCGCATCAAAAGGCGCGCGGAGGGTGTGGTCCCACGCCGGGCTATCTTCGCTTCGATCCGCGCCGGGGGCGAGGCAGTCATTTCCGTCCTCTGCCTTGGAGAACGGCTATCGCCGCCGGTTAACCTACCTCACGAGCCGCGGACGGTGTCATGACGGAGCGGGGATGTTCGAGCGATGCGTGGACTTTCAAGCGGAACAGGGATGTTTGAGCTAAGCCTGCATGTTCGAGCGAGACAAGGGTGTTCAAGCGGGACGGGGGTGCTCGAGCGAGACCTGGATGTTCGAGCGATGCCTGCATGTTCGAGCGAGAAGTGGATGTTCGAGCGGGACATGCATGTTCGAGCGGGACGTGGATGTCGGTCCGATGGGCCGAGACGCTTGCTCCGTGGCGGTGCTGCGCTGTACATTGCCCCTTGTGCGGTGCACCTGACGTGCGACGCGATGACACGTGGGGGACATGCGGCGATTGTATCCGTCTCCCACCTGGCGTGCTATAAACCGCAGCATTTCCGCCTCCTTCCAAAAACCGCGCTGTCACATGCATTCCACCTTCCCCACCCTTTCACCGTGATTCCGACAAGTGCCTGCGGTCTTAGGGCGGGTTGAGTTTGGAGTCTGAGATGTCCCAAATGCCGCGCGTATAACTATACCATCGCTTGAAAACTGTGCCTAGACGAGTCACAATATGATTACCGCTGCTTTAGGAAACCATGCCGTCGTCCGTAGAGCTGCCAGTGGCTTCTTCCGCCACCGCCAACGCTCCGCCGTTTTCTAGCAGCCCGTCCATCATCCTGCCTTTCTCAAACAGCGCCCCCCAGTGCAGCGTTCTCGGCGTTCTCACTCCCCAGTGCGGCGCTCTCGCGCCCCTCACCCCTCGCCTCCGCCTCCACGCGTCTCCGCCACGCCGCGCCTGACAGCCCGTCTCCCGGCAGGAGCACGGCGGCCGCGTCATCGGCGACCGGCGCCGTCGTCACCTCGCAGAGCCGCTCCGGCGCCGACCTCGTGTCGGGCGGCGAGCTGGGCCTGCTGCTGGCCGACCGCGAGGCCGAGGACCTGACCGCCCGCCGCTCGCCGGCCGAGCACATCGAGCCGCGCCGCGGCGTCATCGTCGGCGACGGCGCCGAGCCGGGCTCGCCGCGCTACGTGGCGCCGCTGGCGCCGCTGCACGCCGACTCGCCCAGCCCCAAGGACATGTCTGCCGGCCACTACACGGCCCAGTACACGGGCCTGGCGCCGGCGCAGGTGTTCGCCGAGCCCATCTCGCAGTACAGCGCCCTGCCGCCGTCGCCGACGGCCAGCTACGTCGGCGGCAGCGGCACGCTGCGCGGCGGCGCGTACGCCGTGAGTGAGCCGTATTATCGCGACTACTACCCGGCCGAGCAGTACGCCGCCGGCCGCAGCGCGCCGCTGTACGCCGACGGGCAGGAGGGGCACGCCCAGTTCGTGGAGCGGTACATCCGGCCCGGCGCGTCGGCCGTGTACAAGCTGTCCAGCCAGGGCCTGGCCGTGGACCTTCCGTCGCCGGACAGCGGGATCGGCGCGGAGGCGGCCACGCCGCGCGACCAGGCTACCAGCCTGCAGCAGGTCAGTCGGCGCCCTGGCCTGACCTGACCTGACCAGGCACACAGATGTTGGGCCGCCGGTACGCACAGGTCAGTCGGCGCCCTGACCTGGTGTGATCTGACCTCACGGACACGTAGATGGGCAGCCCCACCAGGCCACCAGCCTGCAGCAGGTCAGTCGGCGCCCTGACCTGATGTGATCTGACCTCAAGGTCACGTAGATGGGCAGCCCCACCAAGCCACCTGAATGCAGCATGCCGGTCTGTTGTATACCATTAAGCACATACGGATGCTCGAAGGGCCTTAACAGTCTGAAAGGTATCAGTGGCCGACTCTAGGCTTATTGTGATCAACGGAAAAATTGGAAACAGCAGCATGCACAAGTGATAGACCGTTGCCGTTGGTGCAATGGTCCGACCCGTCTCTCTGCCTTCAATGGCCACTCTATCTTTCCGCAAAGCGCAGGGCACTGTTTGCGTTTGAGAAAGTCTATGTCTACATCACAGGCGACCTGATGCCGCCATCGCTGCGAGCGTCTAGGAAAGGAGCGCGTCTTGGGCGAGACGACAGGAATGCGACGCGTGCGCACCTTGAGCTGACGCAACGCATTCTAGGCGTCACATCAATGCCTATGAGATAAAACGCAGCCATTGAGCCGGTGAAACCGTGTGTACAGTTGCGATTGCGATATATTTAGAATCAATTTGGTTTAAAGGCCAGGACTGTAACGTGGCCTCGATGTAACACCGTGTCGATCACAGTTGTCAAACGTTTACGGTGCCAAGAGAAAGGACCGTTTCGCAACGGTAAAGAAACTACGGGGTTTCTCATTCACAACTGCTCCCATATTCCTGCGGCAAACTGTGACATTTATTGGCTCTTAAGCTGAAAACTGGTCATTTACGGAATACTGTATAGAGCGGAATCGCTTGCCCAGCCCTGATGTGCGGCCCACCCATCACCTCGGCCCGGGCTGCGGCCGTGGTGCGCTGATATCGTCGACGTTGGTTGTCAGCTCCCGGGGCCCTCGTGTCTGCTTTGGTGGAAGGACGCTGGTCCTGGGTCGTCAGGAGAGGGGAGAGGGGAAGGGGAGGACAGAGCAGTGCCCAGGCCTCGCGTCGCAGCGTCCAGGGAGATGGTGAGAGGTCCTGCCAGGGGAGCGTCCAGATAAAAAACCGGGAGGGACACGCGCCTCCGATAGTAAAACTCTGTCGTACAACTTGAACTAAAAGCAAGGTGCGGCGGTGAGTTCACTCGGCTTCGCGGAGGACGATATCGCCGGGTTTCCCTCTGGGCGCGCCCATGAACGCCGGTCTGAGAGTACTGAGATCACACGAACTGGGTCGGAAATGAGGCGACGTAACTCAGCGGGCGACCCGCTGTCGTCAAACGACCGGCCGCTTGGAAAGTGAGTGTTCAGAGCCGCAGTAAATCAGCTGGCAGACACGCCCTCGGCCAATCACAGTCGTTAACGCCGCAACGGTACGCACGAGTCGCGCAATTTTGGACAGAGTCTGGCGGTAGGGAACGTTTTTTACGATGGAGTGCGAGGGGAGTGTCACCAGGGCAAAAAATGACACCGCTTGCATAAGAAGCGGCTCGAGATGAAGCAATTCGACCCCCTTTGGACGTAATTGGGTACGTAGCCCAGTGCTACGATGTGTGGTCATTTTGGGACCTCTCTTATGTCGCCTGATGGATGCTGTTCCCTTGAGGTCCAGGGGCGAGCGGAAAACCCTGTTTAACTGAAACCAGGCTACTCATATTAAACAAAATAATTACACAGGCAGCTTTCTGAGCCGTGCTTACACAACGTTTCTCGGAAAGTCGCATGAAGGATTAACAATATTGAATAATGATATAAATGAAATGAAATAACATACCTTACATTTACTTTTGTCTTCTGCTTTTCTGAATGAATATTCTATCAGATAAAACGACGCACCGCAAAAAGCAAATACCGTATTGATAGCTCAAATACAGTGTTAAGTGGTATAGCACCTGCACAAATGCTTACAGTGTACAGTACCTAGCCACGTCTAGCTTTGTGTGGTGTGGAAACATTTCCCAAGTGTATAACTCTACGGACGCAGGTGCCACGCATCAACAAGCCATCTTTTCGTTTGTTCAGGCTACAAGGCAATATCTCAGACAGGTAACATTTGTCCATCGGCTGCAACGGTGAAATGTGGCCAGAGTAAGGAGGCAGAGCGCTCCAAAGCCAAGATCGCACTGGCACGCCTCAGTGTGGCCCACAGGGTCCAGTTATGACGCTCGTCCGTCTGATTCCGGGGCGGTGCGGCCGGAAACCTCGCTCAGGATTGTACGCGTCCTTGCCATGGTCTTATTCGGGATCGGGTTTGGGATGAAGCGCCGCTGCATGGAGTCTGGAAATGTTTCATACAGTTCTATCCAAGGCAACGCCCAGGTCACATTGTTCGGGGTGAGTCGCGCGCGCTTTGATCTATTGGACGTTTCGCTGCTTCGACGTGCCAGTGATGCACGGCTTGTCAAACTGGCATTCTTCTCCGATGACATCAGTGTCGCATTTTTTGAATTTCAGGCGGCCAGAGAAAGAATAGATCTCGTGTCCTTAATGGCGTTTAGTTCACCAAATCCGCGGGGTTTTCCAGACATTACACAAATGACATTCTGTGGTTAACGCCAGCCTTTCTTATTTTCTCCAAATTAGTGAGCGTCTGCAGGTATGTTCATCTCCGCAAGTGGAAGCCAGGATGTGTGCTGTTGCCCATGCGTTCCCGGCTTCTTTAAAGCTGCGTCACTTTTCTGCAAAAGTCCAATGCCCATTCACCGTCTGCGGCAAAAGCAGTGGATCGGTTTGTAATGTTCCGGATTACCAACCATACCGTTTTCTAAAAGGCGCGTGGCATTTTACTTTTTCCATCAGCATCTCAGAAATGGTCACAGCTTCCAGGCCATTTCGTGATTGGAGACATGTCCCACAAGGTTACCCTCGTTATGTCGAAATTAAACGACCATCGCTATCCTACAAATTAGGTGAAGACCGAGGAGACCACTTATGCGCAGCTAATGAAATGCTCTGGCATGCAGATGCTGCTTCTTCCAGCGTGGGTTTTCGGTTTCTGTCGCATGTGATGTGGGTCGCGCGCGCGCGCGCCCGCGCCGCCGATCCGACCTAACGAAGAGCTCAGCCATTAGTTCTGGGCTCTCGGGGATAATTTATTACAGCTGATATCACAGGTGCAGCAAGTGGAGCCCGAATAGAATATCGAGCGCGCGAGGAGCCGCGATAGCGAGGGACGGGCCGGCGAGAGAAAGTGTCGGCGCCGACCACCGGCCAGCTTAATGACAAGATAAATCGATTAATGACGGGGCCGCTGGATTGGTACCGCGTGCGATGCATCATCTCCCGCTTTGGACACCGCCGGGCCTGGCGCCGCCGGTGGGGACTCGAGTGGCGGATGTTTAATCCAATCCTGAGGGGCTGACAAGAAGTCATCTGGCGGCGCATCTGTACTCAGGCATCAGGCACTCGTCTTGAACAGACGCCTCGGACGTGAGACGGACTCGAGAGAACGCGAGCTCGCGAGCAGCCCAGCGCTTCGCTCCTCGAGTGTGTGGTAAAAACTAACGGCAGCATCACTTCGCCAAGTGTCCCTTTACCTCTGTTTACTCTCCGAGAACACCGGTCTCTGTGCATGATTCAGAATACACTACAGACTGTCTATTTTGACAAGCGAGATGATGATGGGACACCATCACATCATTTATGCCAACAGGCGGATTTGTATTTTGCGCGTAAAATGATATCCCTCGATGCTGTCATTGCATGCTGTCATGCGCTGCCAAAACTATTTTATTGACGTACATTTAAAAAGGTCATGGCTGTCCAGATCGCAAGAGCCCAGTATGCAAAGAACTTCGGATGCGGAAAGCCGCTGTTGATTTGCTGCCACGTTAAGCATGCAGATTTATGAGCAGGATCATCGATGTCTCATTGTTTCTTCGCGACGAGATAAACACTGGATTGGGTCGTTTCCTTTGAAAACAGCAGCAGCTACGCGCCCGGAGAGTTTTGTAGGTAAACCGGGTTAAACCGGCCTTGAATTCGACAAAAATAACAGGACGTGACCGAATTTTGACTCGTTTATTTGCTTTCTGTAGCTTACATTTTTCTATTATTCTCAGAACTACCAAAGAAGGAACATTAAATGCCTAAGATATCTCAATGATTTTGGCACTTTGTATGTCTGCTGTGACTTTTCAGGGTAGAATATTTTGGTATTCACATTATTTTTATGTGTTGATGTTTACTAGCTGTAAGAATCACATCTTCCCCCCTCTCTCCATGCCTTTCTTTCTTTGTTATGCCTCCCTCTACCAATCCCAATCTATTTTCGTTTCTCTCTCTCCTCTCTCCCTTCTTTCGACGTCAGATTCCAGTCCTTCCTCCACTGGGCTGGAGAAGCGAAGCGGGCAGTCCGGCTGGCCTGCTCAAGGCTCGCGTTTTACGCCGATGCCGACCTGCCCTGACCGTCCCGTCTGCGCTCATGCTCTGCCGCCAAACTTCACACCACCGTGCGTTGCAGAACTCGACCGGGTTCGAGTACACGGACGTGTGTGGCCAGACCGCCCTGCTGGCTGACCCGAGCCTCATCAGGAGCACAGTGTCGCCGTCCACCTCCAGGTCACGCCCCTGGCACGACTTTGGACGGCAGGCGGAGGTCGACAAGATTCACATCCCCAAAATGTGAGTCGTCGCGCTTGGCTGGTCAGTGCCAGCGCGTGAGGTGCGGTGGAGCCGTCTGGAGCGGGCTTGTGCAGTGGACCTCGCGCGGATTCGTCGACGGCTGACGCTGTTTTATTGGTTGTTTGTTATGCCCGCTAGGCATAGGGGAGCGAGTGGGACAGACTTGCTCCGTGGGAAAAGAACGGCGCTGCACATGTCTGGAGCATGCTGGGTCAAATGGGAGGTCACCCTTTTTGAACCCTGACCCGAAGTATGCATTACTCATTCAGGCACAGCCACGCGCGTAAATCATTCCATTTGGCTGGCGTTTGCGTGGAGAATGAGTCGATGGTGAATAAAAACGATGTGAAGCGAAGTGGACAACAATGCCGTGTGTTCCCCGCACTTCCATCGTCTCGTCCTCGAGAGCCGCTCCGGTGTGGTGACGTAATACGGTCCAAAGTTTTCGGAGCCCGTGCTAGTTCCCTAGATGCTACTTCCTTTGTTGCCACCGTTGATCCCTCACTTTGTCACTTCGTTTCTGTTCAATCATCGTTCGTTCTCACCGTTCTCACCGATTTCCATTTTTACCTCACTACACGTCATCGCCATTCTTTACTTCATCACCTTCCGACCATACCTTCGCACCTTCTCAAATCAATGCTGTCACACCGCCTCCTCACGTCGAACCTTCCCACCTCATCTCACTTTCTCACCCCAGCCGTTGCCTCACCGTCTTCACGTTTCGCCGCCTCACCATCTCACCTCAGCCCCTGCCTCGCCCCTCACGACCTCACCACCTTCCTATCTCACTGCCTCAACCCCGGCGGCCGAATGGCTACGTCACGCGAAACGACGCCATCTGACACCTATCAGGACGCGCTAATAACACGGTGCTTGTGTTCCTCCTCACCTTGGCCCAGCGATTCCAGGGCCGCGCACCGGGGCCCAGACCGAAGGCACCGGACGCCCTGCGAGATCGCGCGATAACGGGTCGGGGCGGGTGCGGTGGCGCGGCCAAAGCGGCTCTCCCCGAGGTCCCGGGAAACTCCAGCACCGCGGCCGATCCGCAAAACCGCACTCCTTACCGAAACAGTGACGAGGCCCCGTCTTTCCAGATTCTCCAACTACGGCTTCCGGTTTTTTCATGGAGGCGCCGATTTCCACCAGTCAGCGACGTGAGGATGACCGCCTGACGTACGTCAACAAGGGACAGTTTTACGGCATCACCATGGAGTACGTGCCCGATCCGGACAAACCGCTGAAGAACGCCACAGTCAAGGTAAGCAGGCTGCCGACAATAGACGTGGTTTAATGGGGCTTTCGCCCTCGCTTTTCTGTAATTCCCCTCCAAATGTTTGAGTACAAAGTCACGCGGATTTTCACCTCTTAAAAATGTGCGTGCGAGCATGTCATTTGCCTCCCAAAGCGACTAGTTCTGTTCAAAGATTCACTCCCGGACATTCGCACACAACCGCACCGCACTCACGCCGGTCTATGCGTCCACTTGGGCGCGCACCTGCAGCCTCCACAAGGCGTGATCAGTCGTCTGGCGGAAGCGAGCTGACTTAGATTATAGGGCGGCTCTCCAGACCGTCGCTTGGGACCCGGGCACTGTCCCCGTTCGCTGGGGACGGACGGACGGGCGGACACGCGACTCGGGATTACGACGGCGGCCAGTGGCCTCTGAGGTCGGCGGGGAAGAATACCGCCGTCCCCATGCTCGAGGTCCTCGGGTCAAGAATCGGTGGAGACAGACTCTTGCCAGGGCGAGGCCGTTGAATATATCTGTCATCGATTTGTCAGTGGAAGGCATGAGTTCCTCACGCCATGAATATATTCATGGCAGAGGCCCGACTTGTTGACGTACATTACCAGAGAAATACCGAAACCCGATGTTAGATACAGAGTGTACTGTTGTTGACTGATGTAGTCGTCATGCTATAAGTCATCACCCAATCCTTGTTTTACAACACGTGCGACCCGTTTAGTCATAAGTGTCACAGTCCCCCGCACCCATAGTTATAAAGGGAAGAAAGAACCGTCGCCAATGTGTCTCGAGGCGCTAAGTTCGTTCATGCGACAGCGTTTTACCGCCGTGGTATGGAACCCTGAAGCCACTTTCACGATCGGCTATTGAGCATCGTCCGAGTTTTCCACGAATGCCCAGCGATCACTCTCAATCTATCCGGCATTTTGCTCAAAAAACGACAACGCGCGGCTACGATTCAGCCCAACAACGGCAGCGAGTCAAGTGCGGCCAAAGCTTTGCTAAGCTCCGCCACCGCCGGGCCCGCGCGCTGCAGATTCCCAAGCAGTTCCGGGCGGACCAGTCCAAACCGGGGCTTCCAGGACGGACACTCATCTCGCCACCTCAGCCGGCCGGGCTGCACGGGAGAAAGTCACTGCCCAAACGTCCGCGCCCCCGGCCCGATGCACGGCGGTGCTGAGGACGGGCCGGGGCCGCCGACGGCCGGCGGAAGCCGACGGCGCCTCCCTCGAGCGCCAGAGCCGTCCGGCGGCGGCCGGAGCGGCGATCTGGGCCATTCAGCTCCGGTGCATATTGTTCGGCCGGGCATTGTCTGGCGCGCGCGGCCCCTCGTGGCGGTCAGGGCCGAACCGGCCGCGCGCCGGCGAAAACTGTAAATAACTCCGGCGGTCGCTGGTGAAAAGCGCGCCGGGCTTAGATGGACACCGGCTAAGCTTTCCCCGTTAGAGATACACGGGGGGGGGGGAGGGGGAGGGGGACGTGCCGGCACGGGATTATGGCGACCGGGGTGCGAGCTTCAGCTGATGAACATCACCAACGTGATTATCGCCTGCGGACGAGCTGGTTCGAAACCAACGAGCGCGTCACGAGCACCGTCACAAAGCGGTGGATCTCGCAGTTGCTGATCCTGGCAGACAGGTCCGGCTCAGGTCCGAACCGTCTCAGATAAAAATAACATTTATCCGGCGATTACTAGATGTGTTTGGGCCCAGGCGGTGCTCTGGGCCGGGGAAGATCTCCGAGGAGGATCCCCAGCGCTGATGGGTGGGCGCTGACGGCGGTGCCCGACCCCGCGTGACGACGTGACCTCACGGCGTCGCTCGCTGTGCCGCAGAGCGTCATCATGCTGATGTTCCGGGAGGAGAAGCCGCCCGAGGACGAGACGAAGGCGTGGCAGTTCTGGCACAGTCGCCAGCACAGCGTCAAGCAGCGCATCCTCGACATCGGTAGGTACCGCTCGCCGGCACCGGCGCAGAGACAATGCTTAGGTGGCCGTGGAGTTCAGATATAGCCGGCTTGCAAAGCAGCGATCACCGGCTTTTATCACTGAGAGGCTTTAACCGATCTCATGGATGGATAATGTGGCTTGGCTTGGCAGATGTGGAAGCGACCACACCAGGTGCCACTTCAGTCACGATAGCTTTTGACATTTTGACACCGAAAGATTCGTTTCGGCGTTTGCAGGGCTCTGACCTGCGTTACGTTTTCAGACACAAAGAACAGCGTAGGGCTGGTGGGAGGCATAGACGAGGTGGCGCACAACGCAGTGGCCGTGTACTGGAACCCGTTGGAGAGCTCGGCTAAGGTAAGGCCTGAGGATTAGACATCGATACCTTCAGTGGGCTTCTCGCTATGGCCGAGGGCATGGAAAGGAGCTCTTACTCTGGAATTACCTAACGTGCGCAGTCTTGAAATGTGCATGGGTTTGTGGGAAGCCGGAATGCGTCTCAAAACCAGCGTACCAACGACGAAGTCTCTTGGGAAGCAGTGCATGCGTCATCGACAACCTACACGTGCCTTTACTCTTGGGACGGCTTCAGCCTCCCGTGACCTGCCCTGTGCACCGTTCTCTATGGTTGCGCTGTCCCTGACCCTTAAGCGTGCCCCCCGGCTATGTGCAGTCATGGAGCGTCCGACTCAATTATACTAAAACACTGCACGGTGGTTAAAACGCGGGCTGCATCTACTTATAATTAGAAACGCCCCCGGGCGGGGCATCATTCCTAGATCGCTTAGTCCGCATCTGACTGAAGCTAATCCTTGACCTGCTATTTGGGCGTTGAAGGCACGCCGCTGCAATATATGGATAATACTATTATATATTTGTTAATGGTAGCATGTCCTTGCGTGACCCGAAGACTGCTCATTAATTATGGATGCAAGTGCGATTATGTTAGTCGTTCCGCGCTGACGTAGAGACCCGCTATGGATGGATTACAAGCTTCTGACCAATGTTCAAAAAGCACAGGACTTCACAGCTCGTGTCTGAAGTCATCTCCTTGATCCTCGGTACTTGTGTATGCGGTGTCTGCCCCCACCTCGTACAGGCCCAGACAGCAATGATCACCTGTCACGCTAAATTGCGGATAGTAAATGGACAGGCTCATTTACAGTGATATAATCACCGATAGTCTTTTCTGCCAGAGATGATTGAAGCAGATAACCACAGTCAGCAGATAAGTGCAATTAAGGACCGATTCGCGCGGGCAGTCATGAAAGATCGAGCGAAGTGGCATCGGTGAGCTTGTACCGAGGCACTGGCTCTTATTTGACCGAGTCATTACGATGATGAAGAGACGCTCCCGATTCTGCTTACAGATAAGCATCGCGCTACAATGCCTGAGCACGGACTTCAGCAGCCAGAAGGGCGTCAAGGTCAGTCGATGGGAAACGGCCAGCATGAGTTCCAGGTGGCCACAGCGGAACGGAATGCATTCATGATGAGCCCGATACGAGAGGCGGTCATCCACTCACAAGCATGAAAATCGCGCACCTGTGATAGACGCTCACTTGATTTGAGTGTTAGTTGGCGTATTCGTTCCATGTGCATCGCCAAATTTAACGTGGGTTGCATGAGCCTGCGGCCGTGCCCTCTTCAAACCGCCGGCGCTACCGCCAAGTATCCGCCAGCGAGTCAAACATGCGGCTCTTGAAGCAGCTTCCGACCGGCGCTCGTTTAAAGTCAACAGCGTACTCACAAAACCAGGCAGCGATCAGGCGGCCGTTTTTGCCGGGCCGTAAAAACCGTCGGTCCGGCCTCTGTTCTTCTCACGTGTACGCCGCGTCTCCGCAGGGCCTGCCTCTGCACGTGCAGATCGACACTTACGACGACTCCCGGGACCCGACCGCGACGGTGCTGCAGCGTACCTATTGCCAAGTCAAGTCCTTCTGCGATAAGGTGAGCCGGCGCGACGCCGTCAAGAGATGTCCTGCCTTCAGGCGTCTCGATATGATTCCCAATTACCCGACCCCTGCACGCCACGCTGTTCTGCGCAGCCCCCGGCCGACACGACGTGGTGCAGCCGTTTGGTCGGCTGGCGCCTCTCCTCGCCGGCGTCCTCGCCAGCACGGGCGCCTCCTCTCGCTCCTTACCGCGACATCGGCCTTGACCGTGCATCACCGTTACCCGGGCTAGACCTCCCTCGGCGCCCGTAACTCGCAGCCGGCCGGCGGCGGACCGACCGCCCCCCCGCCCCTCTCCCCCCCCCCCCCCGTCCGCGTCCGTCCAGCCCTGCCCTTTCGGGGCGGGCCAGGGAACCGCGCCCGGGGGCCGCGCGCCGGCGCGGCGCCGCGCTCACCCGCCATTCATTAAGGCGGAATCATTTGTACACAGCGTTGCGCCCTGCCGCGCCATCATGGACGCTAACGTGGCCCGTTTGCAGCTAGTCAATCCCGCTTTACGGCAGGGTAATTTGGGGCTGGCGCCCTGGTCCGCGCGGTCCGACCTTGTGCTTAAACCACACTCCAGATCTTCATCCCGCGCGCCCGACCGAATCGCAGGCGGTCTCATGCCGCTATGGACTCCCGTATGGGCCGAGCCGTCGGATCTCAGTTTTATTCGCGCTGCCCGGAGGCGGTGATTGAACTCGACTTTACGATCACGCGCCGTTGCGAAAACTTCCATTGTTTTTACCTCTTGTCCGCTTAATCAGCGTGCAAACTGCACACAATCATCTGATAGCATGCATTTGTGATCTGCCGAGATATTAAGCTTATTGTTGGAAGCCTGCCTTCCAATGATTTGAGTGCTGCGCGTCTGAACATGACTCCTGCAACGCTCGCCTGCGCCACCTCCGCCGCTCACCTCTCATGATCCGCCTGCGCCCGCGCCGGACTGGCCTCACGCGCGCCACCTCCGCCGCCAGGGTGCCGAGCGCAAGACCCGCGACGAAGAGCGGCGCGCCTCCAAGCGGCGCATGACGGCCACGGGGCGCAAGAAGATGGAGGAGATGTACCACCCGGCTTGCGAGCGCACAGAGTTCTACACCATGGCTGACACGGCCAAGCCGGCACAGCTGTTCCAGCCAAGCGCTGACACCGAGAAGGTACGCGGCCGCTGCCCCTGGCCGGGCTGGGGACGACATGTGCGTGACGGGGTTGGGGTGTTCACGGTCCACGCACGTCGGGTAGTGCCGTGTGCTCGCCGTTCCCAAGGTTCTCGGCGCGTGAATATCACCGGTGTGTGGGAAGGCGGACGAGGTGTGGACGCTGCTCTCCGCTGTGTTCTGATTGTCCGATCCCCGCCGCTCGTCGATCAGCACCGAGCCACGGCGAGACTTTCGCGAGCGGCTTCTACCGATATGAATCACGGCAACATGAGCTGGGGCTTAGTACGGCGACGACCTGCTTAGGCGGTGCGCAATACACTCGGCACGACTTATGCAAATATTCCGAGCTGTTACCCAGGAGCGGATCGAGCGTCGGGGATCGGGGGAACCGTAGTTCGTTTTGGGTGCTCCAATTCTGGTGTCGATTTGACTAGATTCAAACCAAAGTAGCAAAAGGTAGGTGTTATGCACTATGTGGAAGAAACAAGGCTCAGTTGATCCCCTTGGATCCACTCTTGCCGTCAGACCTGCAAAACAAGTCATGTTTTGATGCTCGATCTCAACTGTATAAAGTAACTACAAGCTGGTACCGGTTTACTACGGCGTATCCCAAGAATGCTTCCGCCTGTGTTCGGCTGCTGTCGTACAACACAGACATGAAGAGAATACCCGTGAAGCAGGTCATTAGTGATCAGAAACCGGCGTACTGTCGAATCACTCAAGACCTCATTACTTCGGAAGTTACAGGCCCAATTTTCGCATGGCGTGCTTAAAGCGCTTGGGTCTCACAAGCTGTTTGAATAGTACTGCGGAATGGGACCACAGGTGGTGAATATATTGACACTTATAAACCTGATGAAATCAACGTTATGTTTACCAATCAGCTGACCGTAAAAAACACATATAGCTTCTTTTACGGCAGGTTGGTCACTTCCACCTGACACTCAAAGTATTAGGCAAAAAGAAATGATGGCATGACTGCTATCTGGCAATCTACCCATCGACCTCATGAAGTCACCGCCTCGTTCATCTATATTCGATCTCAAGTGGCGGCGCACCACTATAAAGACATCAACATTCATCCATAGGGCTCCATTGCCGGCCTTAATAATCTACTGCTCTAAGCCACCGCCCTTGCTTTGGCTCGGGAAACGTATCCTTCAAAAAACACTTGACTCTTTATTAACATACGCGATGCCGTCTTATTTGTTGCAGATTGGCAACATCGAGCTGCAAAACTACTACGCTCAGCAGGAAGGCGAAAACCACAGTCTGTAAGTACTCTTCTGCAACATTTCCTCGTGTGCAAAACCGAACCAACTAATGAACGTCTTCCGCGGTCTATCCCTCGTCTCAGTCCCGCTCAGCACCCGGCTGACTGCCTGCTACATATGGAGGACGAAAATGTCCAGCAGGTCTGCTTTCACAGTGCTTCCAGTAACGGCCCACCTTCTTCCTGTCGACTATCTGGCATGCATGGCGTTGTTGCAGCATCACTGAAGGCATGACACATTCCACCAGCGTTGCGACTTTGCAGTACGCGGACACAAAGGGCGGTGGAAGACAATAAACAGAGTCTTATACCGCCGACGTCTTTCTGAGGATGACCAATTAATGGCTACGGTGATCATTAAATGTTATTGGCAGCCATCAAAAGGAGTCAAAGATATTTTATAATGAATTGTTACGTAGGCTGCATATTGCGCCTTGAACTGTGCGCCCAGAGTACTGAATACAAGTTAAGCAGCTCGTTCAGCATGCCGCAATATTATCATGAACACTTCAAATTCTACCCTCACCAAATCTCTCACCAACTTCACACACCGAGCCGATGTCGCATAATCCGACGCACAACACCGTCTGCGCCGAGATGCGCCGCGTCTCCGCCGCCTCCCGCCTGCATGCGAGAGCTTCACCCCCCGCGTCTCGCCTTCACTGTGCATACGCGCGTCCGTGTGCCGCCGCCCGAGCGCCGCGCTTTGCATGAGTGCCTCGTGCTGCCCGCGTGTGGCCCGCGTGTGGCCGCGTGCGGCTCGCCTGTGGCCCGCCTTTGGCCCGCGTGTGGCCCGCGTGTGGCGCACGTGCGTCCGCCCGGCGCGCCACGTGACTAACTCAGGCCGTGGCGGCGGTCTCGCCAGGTACGAGGACGTGGCGGCATCGCCGTCCCCCGCCAGCCCCGCCTCCCTCAAGCCCCACTACGGCTTCCCGGCCGTCGCCGGCGAGCTAGGGGACGGGTAAGTCGCCCGCCGCCCGCGCCGCCAGACGGGACCGCCGCGGGGAGCGGGCCGTGCCATCGCACGCGCTCCGTTTCGGCGGCGGCGCCCGCGCCCGCCGCCGGCGTCCGTCATCCACGGCTTGTGGTGTTGCTGGGGTGCGCGCTCTGTCCGTCTCTTAAGCCATTGGTCGGTTCGCTTCGCCAGGCGGCGATTGATGTTTGCATGCTTGGTGCGATTGATATTCGGTGCGAGCTAGCCTTGGGGCTGCGTGTGATGGCTTTGAGAGTGCGTCTGCCCGGCTTGCTCGGCTGAGGGAGGCTGCCACAGCTAAGCGTGAGCTTTTCGAACTGTCGGTGCTCTGTTCAGCGCCTCCCAAGTGGTGCTGGGAAGGCTGATGTAAGCAGGATGATCTCCTCTTTAAGCATACGGTTCGAGTGAAAATTGCTGGTCATGCGTCGTGAAATTAAGCTTTAACTTTTCAACAAAAAAAGCTAATGAAACTTGACAGGGGATGCATGCTCACAATGCCTCTGCGTACCCACTGTACAATTCTATTGAGCGTATTTTGTTCCAGAGAATACTGGATAATCCAGAAGCGTCGGAAATTATTTGACGTTTTACGTTCCTGGCGCCGGCGTTTGTCCTCTCGGCCTATGGAGAGTTTATGGCATCGTCTAATTATCTCCGGGTGTATTTGCCGTACCGTCTAAGGCCATAAATACCCAAAAGCAGTCGGTAGTTTTATCGGCCGGACGGTATTCCATGGCCAGCGGCCTGACGTCATCGTCATCCAGCCTCTGACAGCGTCACGCGCCCACGTGCACCCTCTGACAGCGACACCGCTTGGCAGGGAGCATCGCGACGAGAGCGGCCTGTTCCTGCCGGCGGCCAAGAGGCCTCGCCTGAGCCCGCCGCTCAGCCAGCGCGTCATGTTGTACGCGCGCCAGGAGCAGGAGGAGGTGTACACGCCGCTGCACGTGGCGCCACCTACAACAGTTGGTCTGCTGCACGCGGTAAGTGGCGCGCAGGTAGCGCTGCTGTCAAGGACGTCGGGAGTGGTGGTGACACAGGTGTGATGAACTCAGGGAGGCCGGGCAGACACAGACAACACTTAGCGTAGAATCGGGATCATAAATTTGCATCGGCATGAGCGCATGGATACTGGTGTCATGTCATGCTAGATATGATGTTTTTTTCAAGTCGCTGTGTGTGTCATTTGCTCAGTACATAGATGTAATTAAAATTCAAGCTATTGTTCAGCATTTTGGCAAGTCGCCAACAACTGAAGCTTTGCGCACAGTTTAAGCTGAGAAAAGACTAAATTTCAATAGAGAAACGAAGCGCTGGATGCAATTTGCGTACTCGTAGCCCCGCCAATGCTCCTAAGAGCGCACACGACGCACCACACTTGTTGACATTCAGTTGACACACTGGTGTCCACGTCCATGCCTTTGTATCCGATGGGCTCGTATTAGCCGGTGGCAGTCGGTCGTGTCTTCATAGCTGTAGCACACGGTCCCCGGGTCTCTGCGGCAGTGGGCGCGTCTCACAGGAACCCGACATTTAAACAGTTGTCAGACGGCATGGGTGTGAGGTTGCAGCAATCTAAGCCTACAGGGCGCCTCAGGCAAGTTCCAGCTGGACGGCGGACTGACTCCCAACGGCCTGTACATTTCAGATTCAGAGCAAGTACAAAATCAGTGCATCTTGTGCCCAAACCCTCTGTCGGAAAAACAAAAAAGGGTATGTAACGCATGCGGCTCTGTCCTCAGATCATCACGCTTCTTCTTCATTACCCTAGCGCACGGCTTGTTGGCATGTGTGATAAAGAGATCCCATCCATTATCCTACCGCGAAAGCAACCGTAGCATTTTTTTATTACTCTTTGCTTACTTCCGATGCTATTATTCATGATATCTTGTTTCCTACGCTTTCTTTTTCCACGCTGTTTTACACAAAATGGCGCTATTTGCCCCACCTTTATGCATTGCAAATGTGTCAAGCGCTTCAGTGCATGTGCATGCATTCCTAGGAGCGTTGCCCTAAATGCAGTCCGCATTTTTATCTGATTTAAGGGCGCGATCTTTCTCGAAGATACTCATTGTTCAACGCGGCGCTATATTAAACCGTTGGATATCATTGCTTACCGCTTGTTGGTCTGTTCTCACCAAACTAATGTCATTTGACTGAATTGCGGCTTCATCATGCTGTAGTAAATACAGTAATGCTTAAACTAACTCTAGCTACAAAATCTGTATCGAAATATTCCCAACCTTGTCAGAATTCTGATATACTTTGCTACTCGTGCGAAAATATCTGTTGTTTTCTATGTTGCGTGTTACCCGTCGGCGGGCGCCATATGCTCCTTCACATTCGGCCTGCGGAAACACGCCCACGTCAAGCACCTGCACTTGTTACAACGAGTTGCCGGCGCGTTTCAGAGTGATAGCGACTATGGACGACGATATGATCGCCCACTACTGCAATGAGGACACCTTCCTGCTGGAGATTCGCCCGGCGGAGCAAGACGGCTCGTACCACATCACCATGATCGAGGTCGGCGACTGAGAGAAGCTCAACTCCCGCGGCAGCCCGCCAGATGGCAGAAAATGCGCCGTGCAGAGCGCGGTCTGCCGGGCTCGGCGCGTCGCGCGCGATTTCCTCCTGCGCGCAGGACGCCTGGCGCCGAGCTTGTAAAATTGCGACTAGCGCGGTGCGCCGTGCTTGGCTAGCAGAGTTGTGCTGTGCTTGGCTAGCGGAGTTGTGATACCGGCCGACGCCGCCCTCGGGCGATCAGCGCCGGGCCGGTGATACGCTGGCGTCTGGCGGGTGACCCCGTGACCCTGGATGCCGCACACGGCTAAGCTTCTGCCGCCGACTGGATCTCGACAAGTGCCACAAATAACGCGGCACCGCCCGCCGCTGCCGGCTCCTCCCTGCAGTGCCGGGGCGGCTCCAAGCTCGTCACCATGTACATACGTATCGAGAACTACATACAGGCGTATACAGGCATTGTTGTGATAAACAGTGCCTAGTGTTGTTGTACCTGATGGAAGGATGGATGGCGTCGATGTTGATATCAAAATGCAGAAGCACCGAGTGCTCGTAGTTAATATCAGATGTCCAAGCGACATACTAGAATAAGGTGTACGAACCTGATGAGCCATACATTTACAGATTTACAGGGCAACGTGCCAATCGGTTAGGCTGTCGTGTCGGATTATCCACCGGCCTGATGGGTCACTGAATGTGCGGAAGAGTGGTGTATATGCCCGTTGGTTTGCCGCAGGAACATTGCTGTGTTGTAGCGAGCGCTGTCCTTGTTGGCTTTATCTTATGACCTTAAACGTTAAACTACTTAATGTCGTCCCGACCAGTGTATGTTTCTCACGGACCCACCACTACGACTACGGCTTCGAGAAGCTCGTGTAGGTGCGTCATGCTATGCACTCTGTTACGTTGTCCACGCCGCTTCCCAATTATGCATCGTTGTAGTCGCGCTTGAGACACGAAGCATACGTCGAAAGCTATCTGCGCAGACAGATCCTCACCGCCACGGAGTCGACTCAACCACCAGGATGGCCACTCAGTACGGGGAGCTCTCGTGGCTAAGCTGGGCCGCCCTCCTCGATGACCTACGGTTAATGACCCGCTCACTTAGGTGGTGGGTGACCCTGTCCAGACCGTGCCCGCTGATGCATCCGCTGAAGATCAAAAGCCTCACCTCCGCGTGCTCGAGTGTTCTAAGTGTAATTTATTTCCTGAAGCGTGTGGAATGTGCGGGGTGGCTTAAGAGGTGTTTCAAACGACATAGTCGGTTGATCGGCTGCTTTGCAATACAATTGCTGCGCTCACGTGCTGTTGTACCGGTTGCGTCTCCGCTCACCTTCTGTTCAACACCTGCTGTTGTACCGGTTGCGTCTCCGCTCACCTTCTGTTCAACACCTGCTGTTGCACTGGTTGCGTCTTCTACGGCTTTGCTCGCTGATCGGGGGCTTAGTTTCACAAAAAAGTTGAGGGTAGGCGAGGGGACTGAACAGGGAAGATAGCTCAATCTACCTGCAAAATAGGAGCAAATTTACCACCCCGGATCTGGCCTACCTTATTCTGAAAAGTGCCTCAATATAACACTGCAGCCCAGTTGCGGATGACCTGAGCTCGATGGTGCAGCGCAGCGGCGTATTTTCGTCTTCCGCTTGAAGCGGAAGCCGTGCAGGAGGTTTCAAACATTTTTAAGAACAAGTCGTTGCAAATATACATCGATAAATATGTCATCATCAGTCATAAGATCAATCAGTTCTGGGGCATTTTCAACAATGTTCCATGTTGCGAGGGAAACGGATCGCATTCTTAATGACTTGGTTGTTCAAGCACGCAATACCTCAGCTAACTTAAAACCAAGCGACATCATCTACACGTTCGTCACCAAAGTGAGAATGTCTCAAAGTTTCTGACTTATGCTTCAGTCAGAAACATGTTCATGGTGGTTGCGGGGAGGTGCGCGTCTCGACATTACAGCATTTGATAACGGTGCTGTTCCGATAAGTGGCCCTTATAAACGTATCGTTATTTGTGGAGTACACAACGGCTCATGACAAAAAACATTAGCCAACCGTATAACTGCGCCCAGGGGATAACCCAACTAAAATAAAGCAGACAAAAACCGGGGTCGTTTGCGCAATATCATATGACGCAAGATCTCGCCCAAGCATTCTCTGTGGGTGGAATCGCCCAAAAACAAAGACCAGCTGAAGCTGGTGCTTGAATCCAGGGGCTAGGCATCGGAGGGCAAGGGTACCCGAAGGGTATCCGAAGGGTATCCGAGGCCAAGGTATCGGACGTTTGACCCCCGAGGCACGGAACAAACAGCTAAGTAGGTCATTCAGAAAGTCAGTCAGTAGGTCAGTTAGAAGTTTACGTCGTGCAATTGGCCAGACTTAAAATAGCATGAACTGACATTGCTGTGTTTAAAAGAGGACTGCATGCTTTGGGCGCTGTCATAAGAAGTCCTACGCATTACAGACGTAGCACTATTTACCACTACACATGACCCCAGACAGACCATAGCACACGACAAACAGTTTGCTTCAGTTAAATTTTAAGCAAAAAAATCGGACAAAGCTGTAACGAGCGAAGCTTCCTTTCTGGTTGGCTACGAAAGACGTCTACCCAGACGTGGATGTTAGCACGTAGGTGATACCAAAACACAATGCATAGAGATCCGTCGGTACCGAGAACCCAGACCATTTTTGCTTAATGTATGCATTGGAGCATTATTCTTACACAAAGCTGACTGGCCTAATTACGCCGACGCAGTTCTAACGTTCACAAAATGGCTGGCGAATAGCTGCTTGCAAATTGGCTGTCGGTCTGGCAGGGCCCATCCATTTCAGTCGACGAGATAAGCGAGCATGGAACAATTTGCGCGTCTGGTAATCGAAGGACGCATTGCGAGAAAACTTGCTGTTTATGTAGATATCGCTGGGCGTGAACTGGTTGCTCTCCTATTCAGGTATTATGGGTGTGAACTGGTTACTCTCATATACAGGTATTATAGGTGTGAACCGGCTACCCTCCTATACAAGTGTCATAGCCACAAACTGGCTACCCTCCTATACAGGTGTTATAGGTGTGAACAGGCTACCCTCCAAAACAGTTGTTTTATCCGTGAACTAGCTGCCTTTCTATGCAGGTGTTATAACCGTAAACTGGTTACCCTTCTATGCACGTGTTATAACCGTAAACTGGCCACCCTTCTATGCAGGCGTTATAACCGTAAACTGGCTACCATCCCATACAGGTGTTATAGCCGTGAACTGGCTACCCTTCTATGTAGGTGCTATAACCGTAAACTGCTTACCCTTCTATTCAGGTGTTATAACGGTAAACTAGCTACCCTTCTAGGCAGGTTTTATAACTGTTAACTGGCTGCCCTCCTATACAGATGTTATAGGCGTGAACTGGATACCCTCCTATACAGGTGTTACAGCCGTAAACTGGCTACCATCCTAGACAGGTGTTATAGCCGTGAACTGGCTACCTTTCTATCCAGGTGTTATAACCGTAAACTAGCTGCCCTTCCATGCGGGTGTTATAACCGTTAACCGGTTACCCTCCTATACAGATGCTATAGGCCATCTTTCCGTCTTGCACCTATTCGTTACAAGTGTACCAGCTACCCTCCTGTACAGGTGTTATAGCCCCATCTTCTCGGTTTGCATCCCTACGTTTGATACTCAAGATCGACTCTAAAAAGGCGACTGCGCATACCAACCCACTCTTTTGCTATTCAGCTTTTATCAATCAATTATCTTCAGCTTCTTTGCGATTTTGCACATGCTACTGGCTCATGTTAACCGACTGAGGGAACTCGAACTGGAGGTGTTGCAATGGTACCCCCACATGATCAAACTAGCCCAGCCAAACACCTTGAAAATATTCCGCGTCTACTGTTAAAGAACTGTGCTACTTCATGTGGGTAGAGGGGAGCATGCAAAGGCTGTGTGCGAGCTACCAGGTAATGGGTGTATTACCGTTTTAGGCCTGGTCGGGCCGGCCAAAGTACACAATTTCCGGGTAGCTGAGCTCGGCCTGCCTACCCGCCTGCCAACAACACCACTTCAATTCAGGTATGACGGCGACCATAAGCTACATAATTTCCGGGTAGTCTCAATCTGCTTCCGTGCTTGCTTGTCAACATCAGTTCACTGCAGGCATGGCGGCGACCATGAGTAGGTTGGTGGATAGCAAATCAGTGGGAAGACTCCATGAATTCCTCCGCAATACCGGTCGAGAGGATTTAATACTGCTGTCAGCCGGTTGGCTTTTCTTAGGCGCCAAAGCCTAAGCTGCCGATATTTCACCAGATTGAGGTGTTCTGAAAAGCGTATACCGACTGAACTAAGGTATTACGAGGCATGGCGCAGTTATCTATTCGAAACGAATTTGGTCTCAAGGTCTGTTCACAAATATTTTGAATACCACTTAAGGAAACGTTATTGACCAACAAATGTTGCGGTGATAGTGACGAGCGGAGTCCGTTGGAACAAATTCGGAACAATAACCGTTTCGAAGAGCACGTCTGAGTTCGTGAGGAAGAGGTTCACAAAAATAATGTAGAGTAGGAATCAAACACTATTCCTCTATATGTTTGCTCAGTGTGCTCCGATCAGTTTAATTGCATCCATTTCTGGGATTATGGCTCACACTAACCAGAGTGTGTAACCTGTGTGACCCCTGTGCTGTGTGACCCCTGACCCCACCACACGATCGTGAAATTCCACTGCAACGGCATAATTTGGTAGCGAACGTTTACGTGCTACAATGCACGGCACGGTCCGCCCCGCACTCTGACCCCTGACCTTGAGGAGCCGCTGCTTTCGGACTCGGGTCATCCAAGCCAGGAGCGAACAGCGGGCGACGAGGCTATTGGAAGCCACCAACCCAGTCACGGGAAGTTTGGGAGGCATCCAGTCCAACCGATCAGGCTGCATCGAACACAAGCTCACGTGCGCGGTTACGGTGCGATCTGAGAGGTAGTGGAGTCGACATAGGCCAACGTCGGTCGACATCCTTGACCAGTCTCACACAAAAATTGTTAAGCTGACATGTTCCATATGATTGATGACGTCACAGATCAGGCAAAATACTCCGAAACATACAAAAATACTTGAGCAGCTTCAGGACCCTCCATCATCCGTCATACTATTACAAATTCAAAACTCGTGAGCAAAATGACGTATACGGGCTACTAACAGTGTCGTTGGTGACCGAGCCCATATCTCCTATTTAAGCGACGTCTGCAAAATGAAACATTCTAAGGCACAAAAGAACATCCTGGTGACATATGCTGAAGGGTACTGACAGCCGAGTGAGAGGTTTCACGTGGGATTACGAAATTTTATGGCAGATGCATGCCTTTCTGATGTTGCATCAATGGAAAGTCAACCTTTGCAGCCGGACATCTCAGCTAGTTGCCAAGGGCTGGAGCGCTTTGAAAGCCTTCTACATTGGGCGCAACGAGAGGGAGCTTGAAAACCCTTTCGTGTGGACTTACCATTACCAACTACTTAACGGCGGACTCAGCCCAGGCTTGTTTCTGTATCTGCCAAGAGTCGCGGTCCCAGCGGGACTAGCTAAAGAAGCTTCCTCCCCATCAAATAGCTGCTATGGGCTGGTTTTCGACTTGCTTGCCGATGGAGCCCGATAGTGGCGAGTTATTCGCAGAGTTAGCGCCTGGCAGGCCAATCTATATTTTCTCGGCGAACATAAATCTCCGGACTTGGCTCCTTGCACGAGGTTGTGTGAGTTAGTGAGACCTGGTAATGGTATTGGTTTGGTGAAAGCAGGCACAGGAAAGAAGGTCGATATTAGATGCATATTTGGAGCATAATATTTACTGGGAAGGCAGAGATAAACAATGTAAAACTGACACTATAACATGAAGGCGCGTACACGAGGCACAAACTCTTCTTAAAAGGGAGTTTCCACATTTATATGAGGTTTTGAACTGAAATGATCATGTTGAAGACCTTTCGGTGCTGTTCACAATCCTGCCCTTTTTAAGACTTAACAGCTGAGTCTTAAAATTCCATCCAGTTTCTGAGCTACACGCTCGCGAAAGATGGGGAAAGTATATCGGGGAGAGTATTTCAAAGCCACCTTGGCATTCATGACGTCATAATAATGTCACCCAAATCCTGCCATTCCATGAGCCATGTGGCTGTTGACGCCAAGAAAAATATGATTGTCGAGGCGCTCATATCTGCCGTTCCTGAGTGTAATTTCCAGATATAACAGCAGTCACTTGGCTCTCAACCAATGTTGTGCAAGGTACAATGACCTAATCAAACCATGGCGCATGGAAGAGCATACTTACAAAACGGAGAGTTATACTGTCTAGAGCAGTCTTTTCCATTACAAAGTATACCAATGGGTGGGCTTGTTTCACCATCTCTGACGCTTGCTTCAATATCTTCAAGTGTAAAACATCCTCTTCAATACGCCTGAAGCTCTAAAATATATATCCTTATG